TGGTGAGGAAACAGGTGCTACGTTGAGGTACAGAGTGAACTTGGTCAAGGAAGAAGCAGTACTGAAGGTTAGGAGTAGGTATGATTGAGGTTCCAAGTTCAGACTCAGACTTGTTTAAAGATTGGAGATGAGAGTTGTTTCAAAGTAAAGACTGGATTTGGAATTATGGTTGAAATCGGGGACTGTGGTCTTTCTCACTGTCTCATGAGCTCTTGATCAGATCTGACCATGTCTTCTCATTGAATGGCACCATGTCCCCCAAGCAAGAGATCTTGACGTCCCGAAATCTCCATCTCCCTCACCACAACTTCCGTTTAACCCATCACCAGGGCCTGTTGATTTTCCCTCCTTAGTGCACCTTGAATTCATCTACTTATTACCATCTCCATCTCTCACAGGGCCTTATTCTAGTCACCATCGTCTCTCATTTGTACAGAAGAAATGACCCCTTTGTGATTCCGCATTAGCTTCTTCATAGAGCAGCCAGATTGATATTTTGAAAATACCAATGTTATATGTGACTCCTCTGAACAAAGTCCTAGTTGTTCTTCATCGCCCACAACATAACGTCCAACTCACCACGACCTACAAGGTCCTTCATTCTCCGGGTCCGTACAACCTCTGTTCTTTGAGCTCCATCCATACTCGCCCTCTACCCCAGTACCTTTGCACCTACATTTTTCCTAGTTTATGCTTATTGTTCTATCCACGCTCACTATTTGTTACTTCTTGGCTCATATCTCCCTGGAAGTGCTTTCACAATCCTTTGCACCTTTACTTCTGAGTACACATTAAAGTTGTCTATTTGCATTTGTATACAGATGCCTTGATTATTTTTTCTTTTATACTTGACTGTCAGTTCCTTGAGGGAGGGAACTCTCTGTGTCCAGGTCTGTGCACCACTGTATCCTCCACGCCCAGCACAGCCGATATATCGCTGGTCTCTACTGGTATACGTATTCTCTAAGTGTTTAATTCAGTGGTTCTCAACCTTCTTAATGCCGCGACCCTTTAATACAGTTCCTCATGTTGTGGTGACCCCCAACCATAAAATTATTTTCGTTGCTACTTCATAACTGTAATTTTGCTACTGTTATGAATTGTAATGTAAATATCTGATATGCAGGATGTATTTTCATTGTTCGCGACCCACAGGTTGAGAACCCAATGATTTACTAAATGATTGGGTTGGAAAGAGGTTGTAGGAAAAGGGCTGGAGGAAGAGCTACCACTGGAGGTAGGGGTGGCTTTGTTGGTTAATTTGGATTCCATATGGTGACCTTAGTTAGAATTTGATTGGAATTTATGACTTGGGATCAAATTCTAAACTGGAAATGAAATTTGAACACAACATGGAGGTCTTAGTAAAATGACTTTCACTCTGGAAAAACCGCAACAACAAAACACTTTAAATCAGAAAGGAAACCTGCAGGTGACATGAGGTGAAGGGGCTCCATGGAGCATTAACTCACCAGCTCAGCAACCGCATCAAAGACACTGCCCATCACCATCACTTTCTCTCCACTTGTCCACCCCCAGAGCTATGGTTCTATCCCCCAGCCACTTCCCTCCCCAGTTCCAGGAGGGCTGCCTCCCTTCCAGAATTTACACCCAGAAGGGACCCTGTCCAACAGCGTCTAGGAGAACTCTTCTCCTGCCTCACTTTGGGAAGAGGAGAGCAGTTCCCTGAAGTAACCCAGGGGTCTTCCCCTCCCTCCTCATTGGCCAACATTGTGTCGCATGTTTATTTAGAAACCAATCCCTGGACAGCAGACATGGGTCCCTGGGCTTGGTGCAGTAAAGCTCACTTGTGGTCACGTGAGCACAGCAGGTTGTCCAAAGGAAATCAAGGTTCTGACAAATGGCAGGAGTGCATGCTGGGTAGGCAACACCAATGTCTATGATGGGTCAACTTGTGGGACCGAGGTAGAATTGGATTAAAGATCTGAATTGAGATAGCACACGGACTCACACTAAGGAATAAAACATATTTGGGGGTCTGAGTTAGAAGTGAGGGTCAATTCCACTGTTAGGAATCAGCTGTCTAGTAGTAATCTGACAATGGTTCCTGTGTTACCCAATGCAAATGCCAAAGTCCTACCTTGGTCCTCAATCCCTGTGTCATCCAAATCCTATGAGGCTAATATGCTAAGTGTCCGACCGGTTGCTATGACATGCACTGACCACCAGGAGCAGACGCTCAACACAGGAGCCGCCTTGACACGCACTGGCCATTCCCAAAGAAAAGGCACCACGGACCTGGCGCCCGCAAAGCAACACTCAGCTTCCCCCAAGTGGGACACAGGCCCCGCCACCACCCAGAGCGATAGCCCACCAAATCGCAGCCGACGCTGTCGAGACCCCATGGCACAAAATGCGGCCCACAGCCCAGCCCATCCTACTCCCTCTGATTCGTTCAGCTCCAATAAAAAAGTCTTCCCTGTTAGATCCGTCTAGGACACTCGCCTCTTCTCACCTGCCCGTCACTCTGCCCAGGACTCACTGATCCCAAGTAGCTACATGAATCCATCTACCACTTTTTACAAGATTTTATCCAAATGTCCTCTTCACCTAGGGTCTTTCCAACCACCTTTCCAATATTATAACTGCAGGGGTTGCTGAGATCAAAGGGAACCAATAACCCCCTAGGCCTCCTCTGGTCTTATTTTTCTCCATAGCACTCACTGCCACGTAAAAAAACAACAACCTATAAATGGGAAGTTCTTATTTCTTTACTCAAGGTCTCCACCTACTGGAATGAGAGCCTCTTTGGAGGAATTTCATGGTTTAGTGGAATCTGTGCCCTCAGGGGCCAGAACAGATTCTGGCTCAGAGTCAATGTTCAGTGGATACTCCGGGAATGAACATAATGAGGAAAGATGAAAATGCAAAGAAATGCATTCCATCATCATGATAATGAAAGCGGTTCAAATGTACTTCAATGTGAAACAGATGGCATAAGTCAGAATAAAACGACAGTGTAGAACATTACCCAACAAGTACAAAGGAAGGAGAAATGATCTAAAGGTACTAAGAAGAATTGTTCAAGATATTCTATAGACCTACAGAATAAAAGGTTCCATTAGATAATGTTCAGTACAGACCTTTTTGTTACATACATACAGTATGTATAGAAATAACAGTATAATATTGAAACAGGAATTTGGGGGCAAAATAGGACAGGTTTAGAAAATATTAGATATTTTAGAAATTAGGGAGCCCATGGAGGAAGCACAGGGCTGCAGAGCAGCATTAGGTATATTTCCATAGAATAGGGGAAGCTGAAAAGCTGCAACAGGTACACTTCCATAGAATGAGGAAGCTGGGAACAGCAAAAGGTCTATACTTACAAAATAAAGAGAAGGAAGCCCTTCATCCAGACGGAGAAGAAGAAAGCCCAAAGGGAATAGGAAAACAATAAGGAAGAAGGGGGAGAACCTCACATGTCCCATGTGAGACTCCACCTTTGAGCCCAGGAGTTACTATAGTAACCAGTCTAAGGGACTAGTGACCAATCAGAGGGGATATCAAGGCACCAGGATCTGCAGCCTTTATAAGCCATAGGGAAAAGGAACTCAGTGGGACCCTTTCCCTCTCCCCACATGGGAGTCTGTACTTGTTCTTCAATGAATCTCCACCTTTGCTATACCACCTTCTGTCCGTGGATTCTTCTTCGATTCTGGTGGACAGAGTCCGGGTTCCAGTCCACAAATTCCCTATCAATATGAGACACAGACTACGTGAAAAACAGTACATATTTAGTAGGAGGAGTTAGGAAAGCCTTCCTTTAGATTCGTACCCCAATACTAGGGTTGGGTTCAGGCTCAAAGACAGGACTGGGATTCAGCCTGACAAGTTCCCACAAGCTGCTCTGAGTTACGGTATCAGTTCTAGGCCTCCCCTGAGAGGGGCTGAGGGCACGAAAAGTGGCCACAGTGGAGGACCCAGGGCACAGTCCATCCTGAGCCGGGAAGGTCCCTGACTCCTGGTCCTGCCCCTCAGCGCCAGTACCTGGTCACACCCTTCGTAGCTGCCAGCGGGGATGGTGGGGCTGGGACGTGCTGGGGCCAAGCCCCTGACCTGGCCTCAGGAATGAGGGTGGAGGTAGTGTGCGGGCATGTGGGTTTAGCTGCCTCCGGGTTCCAGATAAGAGCAAATGCAGGTAAGGTAACCCCAGAGCTGGGTTCACTGAACTCCAGGACCCTGAGAGTTGGAGTGGGGCGGGTGTGCTATAAGAGGGCCACGCTGCACAGGGCTGGACACCATTGAATCCCAACCCAGACTGAAGACCAGACCAGACAAGACCCCCGTGGGTGAGAGGAAATCCCATGCGGGGTGGGGCAGGTGCATCTGGAGGGACAGCTGACTCTTCCTTTTGAGGGCAGAGCGGTGGAGGCCTGAATTTCTGGTTGTGAGATGGAGGGACTAGAGGCCTGGAATTTTGGGTCTTTTACCTAAAAGGAACTTGGGACATAGAATTAAAATGGGGAGGGAAGGACAGCCAGATCACTAGGTGCCTCTTCATGGAAGGCTGTCTCTGGCCTGGACTTGTGGGTCTAGAGCAGTGGTCGGCAAACTGTGGCTCGCGAGCCACATGCGGCTCTTTGGCTCCTTGAGTGTGGCTCTTCAACAAAATACCACGTGTGGGCACGCACGTACAGTGCGATTGAAACTTGGTGGCCCATGTGCAGAAGTCGGTATTTTGTGGAAGAGCCACACTCAAGGGGCCAAAGAGGTACATCTGCGTGGAAGGCTGTCTCTGGCCTGGACTTGTGGGTTTAGAGGGAGCAGGTGGGTGGAGACTGGGGTTCCTGGGTCTGAGGGAGGAGGTGGGTGCAGACTGGGCTCCTGGGTCTGAGCGGGGAGGTGGGGGCTCCTGGGTCTGAGGGAAGAGAAGGGACCTGGAGACCAGGAGTCCTGGTTTCTGAACTCTCTGTCTTTCCAGCCCCAGCACAGAAGGCCCTTCCTCTGTGGCAGCCACAGAGGCTCAGACAGGACACATGGCAGTTCCCCGGCTCCCACTGGTGCTGCTCCTACTGCTGTCCTTAGCCCTGGGATCTGCTGGACAAGAAGGTGAGGACCAGCCTGGGCGACGTGACCTTGCCCTGGGCCTCACAGTCCCCCACCTCCCCTCTCCAGGCCCCCTCTCTCCAAGGAGCCCCTGAGTCAGGACCCTCCCCTGCAGCAGCCTCCTCCCATGGAGACACGGCCCCTGGGCTGTGGCCACTTTCTTCCTGCTCCCTCCTGACTCCTGGGCTCTGGGTGCCCTCCAGGCTGCTTCCCGCCCTCAGTGTCTCTCCCATCAGAATCTGTGGCTGCCTCCAGACCAGCTGCTGCCCTGGGCTTCTGAGCAGCCTCCCTCCGTCCGTCTCTCTCCATCTCCGTCTGCAGCTGTCTCTGCCCTGGGCTCCGTGTCTGCCTCTGCCCTTCTCCACGCCTCTCTGTCTGTCTCTCTCTCCATCACTGTCTCTGGGCATCCATCTACTGTGGCCTCAGCCTTCCCCTGAGGCCTGCTATCCACACTTTTTCCAGGTCTCCATCCAGCCCAGGATACCGGGGAGAGGATCATTAATGGAATTCAATGTCCAAGAGCCTCCCAACCCTGGCAGGTGGCTCTGTACCAAAACAATCTGTTCCTGTGTGCAGGCGTGCTGGTCCACAAGAAATGGGTGCTCACTGTCGCCGACTGCTACTCGAGGTACCGGACAGGCGAGCCAAAGGGAGGTCTCTCTCTCTCTCTCTCTCTCTCTCTCTCTCTCTCGGCTTCTGTCCCCCTAACTCTGGGTCTATGTCCCTCTTTCTCCATCACAGTGTCTCCCACTCAATGTTGCTTTTTTCCCCTCCAAGATTGTACACTGTGCAAATGGGCACTAATCTTCTAGTCGATGGAAATGCCCAGAAGATCAGGGCCACAGAGTTCTTCACCCACCCCCAGTATGACGTAACCACAAACGTTCATAACATCATGCTGGTGAAGCTGAGCAGCCCGGCCAATCTCTCGTCCACCGTGAGGATAATCAAGTTGCCCTCCAGCTGCAAACAGCCTGGCACCACTTGTACTGTCTCTGGCTGGGGCAGCACCACCATGGATGGAGGTAAGGCCGCCCCCCTGTGGCCCAGGAATAGCCCAGCCCACGGCTCCCTTTTCTCTAAGACACGGGATACAGGTAACAAACCTAAGATCCCAGACCTTCAAACCCCTCCTCCCTCAGCCAGACCCAGGAGCCCTGACCTTTAGACACCCCTCCCCCAGTCCCATAAGCCTCAGATCCCAGGCCTCCGTCCCCAAGACCAAGGTGAGAGCCCCCGCCACGTCCTCAGCCCCCTCCACCATCAGACCCACCACTATCTTTAAATATATATATTTTATTGATTTTTTACAGAGAGGAAGGGAGAGGAATAGAGAGTTAGAAACATCGATGAGAGAGAAATATTGATCAGCTGCCTCCTGCACACCTCCCACTGGGGATGTGCCCGCAACCAAGGTACATGCCCTTGACCAGAGTCGAACCTGGGACCCTTCAGTCCGCAGGCCGACGCTCTATCCACTGAGCCAAACCGGTTAGGGCCAGACCCGCCACCATTGGCCTGCAGATGCCTCCTCCCTTAAACAGAGGAGTCCTGGCCTCAGCACCCCCCACCCTCAAACCCAGGAGTTCCGACACCAGCCCCTTCCTCCCTGAGAACCAGCAGTCCCATAGGACCTTTTCAGGACCATAGTATGGAGCCACCCAGCCCATCCTCCTTCAATAGCCAGGGCCCCCATTCTTTGACATCAGCACCCACAGGTCCACAGGACCCAGCCCCTGACTTCCCGATAACTTCCCCAGCAGTGAAAAACCCATCAGCGCTCATGTGCTCGAATGTCAGAATGATCCCCTACAATGACTGCAAGAAGGTTTACCCGACCCTGTTGAGGAAATACACCATCTGTGCTGCTCCCCCCAGAAGATCCTCCTTCGCCTGCAAAGTGAGTCCCCTCCTCCCCTCTGACCCCCTCCATCCAGTGTCCCGGGGCCTGACCCTGGTGCTGAGCCTTCCCTCACACCTTACCAGCCCCACTTTCCAGGCTCTCTCTACTCAGTTCTCTGCCCAGGTCCGGGTGGGAGCCCAGGAGGCCTGCGTGGCCTTGGGGGCGGGCACAAAGCTGAAGGATAGAAACTGGGGGTGGGAATGGGGCTGGGACTATGGGGAGGGCACTGAGGCACTGGCTACAAGCACAAGCTTTAAGGCAGCGGTTCTCAACCTGTGGGTCCCGACCCCTTTGGGGGTCGATCGACCCTTTCACATGATTCACCTAAGACATTCCTGCATATCAGATATTTACATGACGATTTATAACAGTAGCCACATGACAGTTATGAAGTAGCAACGAAAATAACTTTATGGTTGGGTCACAACATGAGGAACTGTATTTAAAGGGCCAGAAGGTTGAGAACCACTGCTTTAAGGGCACACCAGAAGCTCAGTGACCAGGATATATCATATTCCAATGAAATATTTAAAAAATAATCCATGATGAGCAAAGCATCAGAATTTTCAACAAAAAAAGCAACCAGAATGGGCTGGATTTTCCATTTGCTTTGGGCTCCTATATGGTTCAGAACAGCACTGTAATGACCCCGTCTTTATCTAAAACTGGAATAACAGGTTCCTCGTGGATTTTTTTTTTTTCCGTCTTCAATTTGATTTTTAAAACGTGCTTTAAAAGGCAATCACCGCATGTGCCTGAGGCTCATGTCCTACTTCTATGTCTGTGTATCTGGTTCTAATTCTGTAGAAAGAAGGAGCCCCTCCTTTTTGTTCCCCCTTCCTCATCTCTGTAGCCTCCTCTCTGACTCTCAGAACCAGCTCCCCTCACCTCTCTTCACACCTGCACACCTGGTTTCCTCTGGTTTCTCTCTGTGTTGGGATCTCTCTCTCTCTCTCTCTCTCTCTCTCTCTCTCTCTCTCCTGTCTCTGTCAATCTTTTTATTTTTTCCATATTTCCCAACCCCCAACAATTTTCCTTCCCTTCCCTCCCTTCCCCTCCCCTCCCCTCCCCTCCCCTTCCCTTCCCTTCCCTTCCCTTCCCTTCCCTTCCCTTTGCTTCCCTTCCCTTCCCTTGCCTTCCCTTGCCTTCCCTTCCCTCTCTCCCCGCTCTTCCCTCTTTAGACCCCCACTATCTTTGCTCACATCCGCACTCTCAGCTTTCAGGGGTGGTGAAATGGTGTGTTTTAGGAAGAGAGGTGATGGGACAGGGTTGAATGTCTCAAAAATGTGGGGTTCCCCCTGGTCCCCCACTGAGGGACTAATTCATAATTCTATAAACTGTGCAGGGACACAGAGTCGCAAACCAGGGACAGTCCTGCACTTGGTTTAACGCATTCGCTTTTCTTAAACTTCCTATATTTGAACCTGGTGGTCCGAGCTTTTATTTTGCACTAGAGCCTGTAAATTGGGGCACTGGTCCGGCCCCTGGTTTCCAGGACTACCCTGTCCCCCACCCCTGGGTAAGGCAATGTATGGGATTCCCTGGAGGTAATGCTTCTTCTCCCAGGGGCTTGACAAATAAATGGGGCTCTGACATCCTGGAAGCCCCGCCCCCTTCCTGTGATTGACTAGGGCTCAAGCCAATGTCTTCCAAAAACCTGGTTGGTCCTCTCCTTGATAGCATTCATTCCTGCTCTGCCATTGGTCCGCAGAGACAATGAGTCTCTTCCCATTGACCAGGGTGGAAGGCTGTGTTCTGGTGGGATAAAGGCCTGATAAGCCTGGTGTCTGTGAGACCTCATTGCTGGTTATTTTGAAACCCAAGCTAATCTGCTCTCTCCCCTTCAGGGTGACTCCGGGAGTCCGCTGATTTGCCAAGGTTCCCTGCAAGGCCTGGTGTCCTCGGATTATTTCCCATGTCGTCCACCCTTCGACCCCATCATCTACACGCGTGTATGCAAGTACAGAAAATGGATATATGAAACCATAATAAAAAATTTCTAATCTCTCCAACCCTATGCCCTGAACAGGAAATTCATAGAAATAAAGACATCCATGACTTGCAGCCTTATTGGACTTTATCATTTGTCAAAGTGACATGAAAAATGCCAACAAACCCTAACCGATTTTGCTCAGTGAATAGAGCGTTGGCCTGGGGACTCAAGGGTCCCAGGTTCAAATCCGGTCAAGGGCATGTACCTTGGTTGTGAGCACATCCCCAATAGGGGGTGTGCAGGAGGCAGCTGATCCATGTTTCTCTCTCATCGATGTTTCTAACTCTCTATTCCTCTCCCTTCCTCTCTGTGAAAAATCAATAAAATATGTTTTTTAAAAAAATGCCAACCATATCCTAATCAGATAGCTTTTGCTTTCATTTTCTTCTGTGACCTGGGAGATACGGAGAGACCTTGGTTCTTAGCTTCCTTTTTTTTTTTTTTTTAAATATATTTTATTGATTTTTTACAGAGTGGAAGGGAGAGAGATAGAGAGTTAGAAACATCGATCAGCTGCCTCCTGCACATCTCCTACTAGGGATGTGCCCGCAACACAGGTACATGCCCTTGACTGGAATCGAACCTGGGACCTTTCAGTCCGAAGGCCAACGCTCTATCCACTGAGCCAAACCGGGTTCAGCGGTTCTTAGCTTCTTGAAGGAAAGAATTCAATCAAGAGACAACGTGCAGCACAGCAAGCAAAGGATTTCTTGGCCGCAGCAAAAGTATAGCCAGGACAGCGACATAAGGAAGGGTTCAACATGGGAGCGGCAGGAGAGCCCAGGATGGGCCCCTCTGGCTCACTGGGTAGTCAGGGAAAAGGGGGACTTGGCGACAGGCTCAGGGGGTTAGCCTGCCGCTGCCCGTTGCTCCCCTGGTTGCGATTCTCATGGGGACCCTTATAGTTTAGGAGAGTCACGCCTGTAGGGGAAGAAGATGGGAAAGGGAATGTCTGCGACGTGCTCCCCAGAAGGGAGGGTACTTATCTCCTTCTTGCAGGTGGGAATCTTCGGGGAGGTCTCAGGGGAGGGTCTCAATAAAATATTCATCAGCTTTCCAGGTGTGTTCTTTCAGGGCCATGGTCTCCACTGATTGGTCATTGCCAGGCAGGGGGTCCTGAGGTAGCCATGGCATCACTTGTCTGAGTTTTGCTGTTTTTCTGGGCCTGGAACTGAAATACAGCTGAGGCCTAGATGTTATCCTTAGGGAGGAAAACTGCATGACCAGCCATATGCTGGGGGGCAGGTTATCCTGGGGGTGAGGTCCTTGTTTTCCCAATTTTGCCCCTTGCTAGGCACCTGGGCTCTCTGCCCTGGTGACCTTCTGTGCCCGGCCTGTTGTCCTTGCTCTGCTCATGTCTGCCTAACTGCCTATCACAGTTGGTTGGAGAAGACCCTCAGTCAGCAGGGTCTGTGGTGATTGCCCAGGGAGCCCAGGGTACCAGGAACCTGCTGATCTTGCCAGGCTCTGAGACACAGGGGACTCCTCCATCATCCCTCCTCTCCTCCGGACACCCCTTCCAGGCACACGTTGAGAATAGGAGTCCACCTACCCCGGTTTCCACTCCCACTTTTCGCTCTTCCTCCAAACTCTGGTGCTCACTTGTGGCAGGGCCTCGATGGTTTCTGGTGTCCTGTCTACGTGCAAGCGCCATCCTTTCTGAAAACCTGCTCCCTCTCGCCTCGTTTGTCACCTGTGATGTCCTCAGAACCATTTTCACGTCCCTTTGCACACTTGTGAAGTAGGCATTTCTGTTCTCTGTTCCTCCTCCTCATCATCCTTCTTCTTCTTCTTCTTCTTCTTCTTCTTCTTCTTCTTCTTCTTCTTCTTCTTCTTCTTCTTCTTCTTCTTCTTCTTCTTCTTCTTTTCTCTCTCTCTCTCTCTCTCATTTTATGAGTGGGGAAAACTGAGGGCTGGAAAATGTAGAGGAACACGCCACTGTGTCAGTGGGACCAGGAGGCAGGGTGAGAGTCCAAAATTGGTTACATTTTCCTTTCCGACCTCCCTCTGAGAAGTTCTCCCTCTGAGAAGGTCTCCTCGCCCAAACCTCGGGTCCTCAGAGGTCCCCACCCATATTGTTTAGGTTGTAGAGGTGCACGAGCACAGAAAGGGACACGGAAGGAAGGAGGCACCCAGGACTTCGTCCACAGGCAGTTTGGTACCTGCTCTTATTCTGTGACTATTTCTTTTTACACGGTGACGATCACAGACATGTACGATTTTTGTTTCTTTTTTTGCATTTAACATCAGACAGCATATGCATTCTGACGTGACACACACAGTTCTGCATAATTATTATCCTGAACAGAGTCATTAGTCTCCTGGCCCACATCCGTTTGTTGTTGACATAAGCCAGTGATGGCAAACCTATGACACGCGTGTCAGAGGTGACATGCGAACTTATTTTTTTGGTTGATTTTTCTTTGTTAAATGGCATTTAAATATATAAAATACATATAAAAATATAAATTTTTGTTTTACTATGGTTGCAAATATCAAAAAAATTTCTATATGTGACACGGCACGAGAGTTAAGTTAGCGTTTTTCAAAATGCTGACACGCCGAGCTCAAAAGGTTCCCCATCACTGATAAGCCATGGAATAATTTGGGACAGGTTCCGCATTTCCACTGTTTTGCTATGACAGATAATGTTGTGTGGGACGCAGCTACAGTGTCTGCACAGGTTCAAGCCTTGGACTGAGGAGAGGGCACAGGCCTCTCATGGCCACGTGCAAGTCCCAGCTTGGAGGGAAGGGCCCTCCCAGCACAATTATAGCCAACAGCTGTAGTTGTAAGCTTGAACCTATGGTCCGAACACGTGGCCCCATGTGCCTGAGTGATGCAGGCTTGATAGAGTTCAGGTGCATGTAGTGGAGTGGGATTGAAACCCATGAGAATGTTGTAAACATCTTGATCACGCCCTTACAGTGCCTCCTGGCACCTGCTATAAAATAAAGACACGGCTTGTGGGCACTGAAGCTATCTCTCTCCATCCGAGAGGGCAGCGTTTCACCGAGACCCAGCTTTCATTCTCTCGTCTGTCTTTTCTAAGCCTTTCACAGGCCCCACTCAGGGTCACTGACACAGGCTGAGCTGGCATGGCACATAAGGCGCCCTGGGGCTGAGTATGCCATGGTCGTGCCGGCTCCCCCACAATGTTGTGATGAATTCAAACCTTGCCCATGTTTCGGATTGACCAGAATTCCTAGGTCAAAAGCCATGAATGAGATTCCGGACTCACCTTGCCTAACCTTGTGTCATAAGAATTGTCCTCCATTTGGCTGGAGAACACGGTGCAGGTCTCCCCGCATCTTCACCAGCACCGACGTTTTTGTGTTTTATGTTTAGCTCATAGGTTTTTGCAAATTTTTATTAGAATGCTGTTGACGGTTTCATGTGACTTTGAAAATGATAAAGTCAAATACGGCTGCACGTCAGGGAAGTCTTTATTTCTGGTAAGTCCCTGTTCAGGGTATAGGGATCGAGGATGAAAGCATGGAGGGATTAGGAATTCGCTTTTATGGTTCTATACACCCATTTGTGGTACATGCATACGCCGGTGTATACCACTGGGTCAAAGGGCGGGTCACAAGGGTAAAAGCCAGTGGACACCAGGCCGTGCAGGGAACCATCGCAAATCAGCGGACTCCCGGAGTCACCCTGGAGGAGAGAGAGCAGATTAGCTTTGATTTCAAAATAACCAGCGATGAGGTCCCACAGACACCAGGCTTCTCAGGCCTTTATCCCTCCAGAACACTGCCTTCCCCCTGGCCAATGGGAAGAGACTCATTGTCTCTGCAGACCAATGGTGGAGCTGGAATGAATGCTATTAAGAAGAAGACCAACCAGGTTTTTGGAAGACATTGGCTTGAGCCCTAGTCAACCACAGGGAGAGGGCGGGGCTTCAAGGAGTCAGAGCCCCATTTATTTGTCAAGTCCTTGGGAGAGGAAGTATTACCTCCAGAGAATCCCATACATTACCTTACCCAGGGGTGGGGGACAGGGTAGTCCTAGAAACCAGGGGCAGGACCAATGCCCTAATTTACAGGCTCTAGTGGAAAATAAAAGTTCGGACCACCAGGTTCAAATATAGGAAGTTTAAGAAAAGTGAGCGTGTTAAACCAAGTTCAGCACTGTCCCGAGTTTGCGACTCTGTGTCCCCGCACAGATTGCAGAATTATGAATCAGGTCCTCAGTGGGGGACCAGGGCGAACCCCACATTTTTGAGACATTCAACCCTGTCCCATCACCTATCTTCCTAACACACACCATTTCACCACCCCCGAAAGCTGAGAGTGCAGATGTGAGCAAAGATAGTGGGGGTACAAAGAGGCAAAGGATGAAAGAGAGAGAAAGAGAAGGATGGAGAGAAGAAGAAAGGGAAGGATGAAGGAGACAGAGAAGCAGAAGGTGGGGGGTAGGGAATGAGGCAGAGATGGAGAAAATAAAAAAAATTGACAGAGGTCGGGGAGAGAGGGAGAGAGAGAGAGGAGGAGGAGGAGGAGGAGGAGGAGGAGAGAGAGAGAGATATCACAACACAGAGAGAACAGAGGGGATCAGGAAATGAAATGAGGTGTGAGGACCTAGCTGGCTTAGCTCAGTGGATAGAGCATCGGCTTGTGGACTGAAGGGTCCTGGGTTCAATTCCAGTCAAGGGCACATGCCTGGGTGGAAGGCTCAGTCCCCAGTGGGAGGCATGCAGGAGTCAGCAGATCTATGATTCTCTCTCATCACTGTTGTTTCTATCTCTCTCCCTCTCCCCTCCTCTCTGCAATCAATAAAAGTTTAAAAAATAAAAAGAAATGAGGTGTGAGGAGCGGTGAGGGGAGCTGGTTCTGAGAGTCAGAGCGGAGGCTACAGAGATGAGGAAGGGGGAACAAAAAGGAGGGGCTCATTCTTTCTTCAGAATTAGAACCAGATACACAGTCATAGAAACAGGACTTGAGCCTCAGGCACATGTCAGTGATTGCAACGAACATTTTAAGGCGTATTTAAAAAATCAAATTTAGTATGAAAAAAACCATGAAGAACCTGGTATTCCCGCTTAACTTTTAAAAAATGTTTTCTTTAT